CATAATGCTATGCATATCTTCTGGGGTGCTGTTTGTTTTTCTATCTCTTAATTTGGATGCTAATTATGCAGATGTGTTCAACTGGTAAAAATTCATTGAGCTCTACACTAGTGATATGTGTACTTTCCTGTATGAACATTATAATTCAATAAAAATGTATCTCCCTCCCTAAAAAAAAAATGTCTTACCACTTAGAGTATGAGACGATGTCTTACCACTTAGAGTATGAGACAAATAAGCAAATAAGAACATTAATACATGGCAATGAGTGCAATGAAGGAAATAAATGGAGTGTATCAAATACTAATCAAGTACTTACAATGGGAAAATACAAACAAGGAAATAATTCCTTGTTTGGCAATCACGGTCAATATATGCAGAACCCTTGGAGATTCAGAGCCATTTGTCTTCAGTTAACTGAGGGTATTTGTCCAAAAGGAGGTATCCCATATGTAGCAGAGGATGTTACAGACTGCTCAAGTTGATCAATGTGATTTTTCAGTAAAGGACAGTTATACAGTTCTCCTTGTTTATACTTGCATTGAAAACTGCTATTATTCTACCCATCATGCCTATGGTGGCACCACCTGGCTCTGCTGGAATCTATTTTCCTTTTTCATCCTCTCTAGTCCCAAAGGAGGTATTAATGGTATTTGAAGAGTTATAATGAAGATAGGTGACATTAGGAACATCTGGAAATCTACTACTTTGGCTTCATTCAACTTATTTATTAATTAAGTTTTGGTAGCTGAGATTCAAATATCGCATGAGTCTTTTTTTTTCAGAACTTTTAAATGTTTATGTGTGTGTGTGTGTGTGTGTGTGTGTGCATGACTAGACTCTTAGGCCTCTTGGAAATATGCATATATTTAATAATGACAGTAGTATGTGCCACTTAAAAAAATAGATTCCCACTGCATTTTCGTAGTAAGTGAATATTTACAGACTGAATTCTAAATTCTACTTAAACCCAAGTTAACTGTCCATCCAAAAGAAAGTTGAACTACATCAACCTGCCTATGAAATATCCCAGAACTCTTAGGAGATGTAATGAATCAATAACTAAGCCTTCATCATTACTTATTCCTGTAACTAATTTGTGACCCCCCCCAAAAATTTCTATAATTACAATTTTGTAAAGCAAAAAATGTGTTTAAAACATGCTGTTAATGCGCAACAGACTAAGAAACCTCTGAAAAATATAATCCCAATTAACTGAAAAAAGATTCATCCCTACTTAGTTTGTGCTTCCAGATGTGTTGGCTTGGTCACCAGACCCTTACATGCTGCTAGCTTTCAGGTTACATCAACTACATGAGACTCAGCAGATCTCAATAAATTGACCTCTCCAGTCTGGCAAGGAGACAATAATGTGAAGTTCTTTTTGAAAACACCTTTTTTTATATCAACTCTTGACTATTGGGGATCTAATTTCCTAGTTCTTTTTACCCAAGACTTTGCCTCTCCCATGCCTTACTCCTTGTCTTTTAGACAATTACCCCTCATTAACTGAACCTCAGGTAATAGGCAGGGTGGGAAAAGCAAAAGGAACTTGATCAATTGAGCAACTAAATATAACTCTGGCATCTCAGTATTCTTACTCTGTAAGGCCTGTTGAGATAATAATCATCAACTGCTTCAGAAAAGTGCTATTTAGGAAAATGAGGAAAAAATGCATATAAAATTTGAGTCTTAGGGAAAGCAAATTTAAATAGTACATAAAATGTGATTATTTTCTAATGTTCAAATTCACAATTTCTGAAAGTAAATATAATGCTACCTTGAATAGTTAAATTTTAAAATTCATTCTATAATCTCTCTAGTTTGTTTGTAAAATACTTTCTTGGGTTATATATTTTGGGGGGAAAAGTCTAATTAGTCCAACGAAAGGCACATCTTTAAGAATAGATGTATTTATGCTCAAACACACAGTAATGATTTTTTATTTTCCTCAAACATAAAATTATAGTCCTCAGAAAAATAGCATGAATAAGACTGGGCTTTAATCAAAAGGATGTCAATTATTTATATACATTTAAAACAAATGTGCATACACACAAACACAGGAGAGAAACTACAATGTAGTCTGAATAAGAAAGGAGTTTAAAACACTGGAAAATAATTCAACATAAACTCTAGTTTTTCACTCTTTTCCAGAAAAAGAAGGACATTGGGGAAAACTTTTACTGCATTAAATTAAAAGAATGATTGGGTAAATTCCTCAAGTTTTTGAATGAGTACACATATCTTTAATTTTCATGGGTTAATTCCTGCATTCACTAAGCATTTGGTAGGCATTCTCCTGTTACTGAAGATGCTGTAGAGTATAGAAAGAAAAAGTTCCTGTCCACAGAGCTTTTATTATGGGACAAAACAACTAAGGAGCACCATTATGGAACAAAGGATCAACAGTAAAGAATAAAGTGCAAACATTGCCTTGCTGATTAACTGCCAAATTTCCAACACTTCTGTGGGTGGCAGGTTGATTGCCTAGACAGGTATAAATCAAGCATCCTCTCTAGTTCATGCTTTGCCTTTTTATTGATAAAAAGTGCTTGGGGCTATACAAGTCGGTACTTGTTGGAACCCCTCAAACACTACCACCTTTTTGCTAAAAAGGAAGGACAGCTTTGAAAACATAAGGCCACCATTCCTTAATAAGCCTTTTTTTTTTAAAAAAAAGATCTTATTATATATAAAGCTCAATTAGACACTGAGGAGAATGTAATAAAAGCTCAAGGTAGTGAAGGACTCTACCTTCTAATCAAGTGCCATTTGGCAGAAGAAGATGATATAACCACAAGAAATAATAATCAATGTTAGCATTAAGTTTTCTTTAGCAGTCATGAGAGATTTCACATACATTTTATTCTGAAAATAACCCTGTGGGGTCAGTAGGACATTAAAATGAAATTATCATGCCCAATTTAAGTAAGAAACTGAGCTTGGCAAAAAGGAATGTTTTTCAAAAATCACAGTACCAGGGATGGAGCAAGGCTTACTTTGTTCTACTTGTAATCATGTATGTTTTTAACCACATCTGTTCTTTCCCATAAGAATGTTAATGATATATAGACACTCATTCATTCCTTTATTCATATATTTATTAAACATCTATTTGGTAGCTACTGTGAAACTGCTGGGGATGTAAAACTCAGTTAGTTCCTGCTCTCAAAGTGTCCACACATATTTCAGTAACACTTTATCCCTTACAAAACTCTTCTTACAAGAATGATAAATTGACACTACATTTTATATAATGTATGTAATGAGGAAACAAAGACTCAGAGGAACCTCCTCACTGACCTCATACCACAAAGATAGTCTGAGTTCAGGAAGATTCAGTCATTGCTTAAGAGCCAAAATGAGCACAGAACTGTAGGACATTAGCTATAAACTTTGCTGGACATGTATCTCTATTACTGAAAATTTTGATCCTGTACAGCAGTATATTTTTTAAAAAGTTTAAGTAGTGTATATTTGCTACTGTACTTATGTTAAATACATGACAAAACTCAAAAAATTTAGAAGTTTAAAAGGGATGAAATGCAAAGCACATATAAATAGAAGCTTTACTCCTTACTACCTATAGCCTAGTGGATTATCTTGCATGTCCTTGAAAGCATGCATATATTTATTTGGAAATCACAGTTATCATAGGCTAATAAATTCTAAACAAGTAGTCAATGCGATGGGTATACTTGCAATGATTTCTGGGTGTCTGCTAAGCTATGAGCAGCAATCTAAAAAATCTGATCTTCAGATTCCAATTATGAAACACTATCATAACACTGGTGAGATACAAGTTTTCATACTCACTCCTACTAGCCTGTTTCTGGGTCACTTTTCAGTTTTTCTGACAACCTGACCATCAAAAAGCTTGACTGCCAATGATATAAGTGAGAAAATTGTGAACAAATGAATGTCTGCTCCAGCAGAAAATATGAGAAACACTTAGATTTGATTTTATTCATGTGACAATCACACAAAACTCAATTAAAAGTGGTGAGCCTTTGTAACTTGGAAACATTTTGAATTCTCTATCAGCTATTAATATAATTTGCACTGTCACAATAGCTGTGGCGCTCTACAAAAACATTTAATTTCCATTCATGAAGAAGAGATACCTTCTCCCTCCACAACAAACTGTTTAGTTGAGCACAATTTTAATTATGTATTTATACTTTGCCCAAACTCCTCCTTCACAAGGAAACATTATGCACTTCAAATTTATGGTAATATTGAAATTCAATTTTTTAGCTGTTAACTCAATGAGTAGTTTTTACCAGAAAGTAAGAGCAAATATTAATTAATCCTTTTTTAGAAGAATCTAAAGCATGGACACCCCCACTTCCAATCTTCTAAAATTAGTTAACAAGAAGCAAAAAAATAATACACAAAAGTTCCATTTGAACCCTTGTATGACCCAATTTTTGGAAGCATAATTTACAGTATATCTTCTGAACACAGTAACTCCCAGAATTTTGCAACACACAGTCCTTGACCTCTAAGTATGTCAGGACAAATTAATAGGGAAATAAAAATACAGTTTTTGTAAGGGGTAATGATGTTTTTATGCTATACTAGGGCTCTTTGAAAAGCTAATTGGATGTTAAGTCTTCAAAAAAGGTTTTCCAAAATTAAACAACAAATTTGAGTTACTCTGCAATTTGGGAAAATATTTTATAATGAAGAGAAAGCTCTATTTCAATTTATATTACATTTCTACTGAAGAAAAATTGTGGTAGCTATGTCAGAAAATTTTTGAGAAAATTTTTGAAATAAACATTTTGTAATAATGAAAAATGTTGGAGGTAAAATGAGAAAACAAGCATTTTCAGAAAAAAATTATTTTATACTTTAGGATGATGATGTAAGAGCCATCATTCAAGATGAAAAGAAATCTTAATTTCTAAGGAATATTATAGTTTTTAATACCTTCTTCAGTTACCTCATCTCACTTCATCCAAGAATGTTTGCTCAAAAAGATACGGCTCACTGTTTATTAGAGAAGAGTTTATTATAATATTTTGCTAAAAGAGGCTTTAAAGAGGCTGAATATCACTATTGGGAGAAATGAAATACTGCCCTATCATGTGGAGACAAGTATAGGTTAGACAGACCTTGGATCATAGTTCATCATTTCCTTTGGTGAATCACTAATTTCAGGTTTCACATCTGTAAAAAAGGAGCAAGAATAACCTTTGTATCACAAAACATTGTGAACTGGAAGAATTATTGATATATGCACATAATCATGCGCTGTGCCTGACATGTGATTCATGTAATAAGCTAAAGTTATTCAACAAGTCTGTTCACAGAGTAAAAGTAGACCTATTCCCTGATTCAGCACTAAATTCATTATATCACACTCTGTTCACCTTGATCAACTAAAACTTGTTAAACTACACCAAGTTTTTCACATTGGTAGATAATCTAGCACGGTGACTATCAACAAGGGTCTTCATTGGATTAAGCATTTCCATGGTTCTGTCTAGGATGCTGATTTAGCATCTGCACCTGTGAAAACCCCACAGATGATTCTCGGCCTCTCTGGGAGCTACTGATCTAGCTTATGTGACAGCCTTTTATTTCCAAAATCTCTAGCTTATCAGTGTAAAACTACCCTTGTCTTAGGTGCTGTTAAGAATACTTTGCTTCTTAAGAGAGATCCAAGATGGCCGATCACTAGCAGCTCAGGCTTGTAGCTCCCAGTGAAAGAGCAGAAAACGTGAGGACGCCACAATTTCAGACAGATTTTTGTTGCTCACAAACCAGGAGATTCCCAGCGGAGGAGCCCCATGGGTCACCAGTGTGACTCTTGTGGCAGGTGCGGCAGTTCTCGGTGCAGAGTAAAAGGGACTGGGTCCCCTTTTGGTCAATGTTTGGAGCTCTGCGGATGTAGAGTTGCCCATTCAGCTGATTGAAGAAGGGACTCAGCAGGGAAGCCAGACTGGAGACTCCCGGGCAGAAAAGCACCAAGAATCTTGACTCTGCTGTTTTAGCCGCAGTGGGTTGCTCAGATTTCGGCGCTGGGAATTAACAAGTTGGACGTCCACTCAGAGACCTAATTTGAAAGTTGGTAATTACAAAGATGACAGGTGGATAAATTTACAATGATGGGAAGAAACCAGCATAAAAAGACTGAGAATACTAAAAATCAGAATACCTCTCCCTCTACAGAGGGTCACAGTTCCTCACCAACAAGGGAACAAGGCCTGATGGAGAATGACTGCACTCCAGTAACAGAATTAGGCTTCAGAATGTGGATAATAAGAAACTTCTGTGAGTTAAAAGAACATGTTCTAGCCCAATGTAAAGAAACTAAGAACCTTGAAAAAAGGTTTGACAAAATCCTAATGAGAATAGACAATTTAGAGAAGAATATAAGTGAATTAATGGAACTGAAGAATACAATATGAGAACTCCACGAAGTATGCACAGGTTTTAACAGTCGAATTGATCAAGCAGAAGAAAGGATATCAGAGGTTGAAGACCAACTTAATGAAATGAGAAGACAAGATTAGAGAAGAAAAAGTGAAAAGAATGAGCAAAGTCTCCAAGAAATATGGGACTATGTGAAAAGACCTAATTTATGTTTGATAGGAGTACCTGAATGAATTAACAAGTTGGACATCCACTCAGAGACCTAATTTGAAAGTTGGTCATTCTCATGAAGAGAATGAATCCAAGCTGGAAAATATTCTTCAGGATATTATTCAGGAAAACTTTCCTAAGCTAGTAAGGCAGGACAACACTCAACTCCAGGTAATACAAAGAACACCACAAAGATATTCCTCAAGTAGAGCAACCCCAAGACACATAATTGTTAGATTCACCAGAGTTGAAATAAAGGAGAAAATTCTAAGGGCAGCTAGAGAGAAAGGTCAGGTTACCCATAAAGGGAAGCCTATCAGACTTACAGCAGATCTCTCAGCAGAAACCTTACAAACTAAAAGAAAGTGGGGGTCAATAATCAATATCCTCAAAGAAAAGAATTTTCAACTCAGAATCTCATATCCACCCAAACTAAGATTTATAAGTGAAGTAAAAATAAAACTTTTCACGAACAAGCAAGCACTCAGAGATTTCATCACCACTAAGCCTGCTTTACAAGAGCTTCTGAAAGAAGCACTACACACAGAAAGGAACAATCAGTATCAGTCATTCCAAAAACTTACCAAAAGGTAAAGAGTATCTCCATAATGAAGAATCTATATCAACTAATGGGCAAAATACCCAGCTAGCATTAAATGACAATATTAAACTCACAAATATCAATATTAACCCTAAATTTAAATGGATTAAATGCCCCAATCAAAGACACAGACACACAAACTGAATAAAAAGTCAAAACACATTGACACTCTGTATCCAGATCCATCACATAAGCAAGGACACACAAAGACTCAAAACAAAAGGTTGGAGGAAGACTCACCAGTCAAATGGAGAGAGAAAAAAAACAAACAGGAGTTGTAACTTTTGTCTCTGACAAAATAGACTTTAATAGTAACAAAGACTAAAAGAAACAAAGAAGGACATTACATAATGATAAAAGGATCAATGCAACTATAGGAGTCAATGATCATAAATATATATGCACCCAATATAGGAGCACCCAGATACATAAGACAAGTTTTCAATGACTTATAAAGAGACTTAGACCACCACACAATAATATTGGGAGACTTTGACAACACATTGTTAATATTCAATGGATCAACGAGATAGAAAATTAACAGGGACATTAATGATTTGAACTCAGACCTGGAACAAGTAAACTCAGTGAATATTTATAGAGTTCTTCACCCCAGGTCCACAGAACATACATTTTTTTTTAGTATAACATTACACCTATTTTGAAAGTGACTACATAAATGGATGCAAATCACTCTTCAGCATTTGCATAGCATTTCACAGATTTAAATGAAATATTGTTTGTTTGTCTGTTATTTTCTTTCTTTATTCCTTCCTGTCTCTGCTGTTAAGCACAATTATCAGCATAAAAGAGGTTTTTAATACCTACTTTTAGATTGCATTCCAGCCTGGGCAATAGAGCAAGACTCCTGTTCTCTCTCCTCCTTTTCTCTTTCTCTTTCTTTCATTAAAAAAAAAATATATATATATATATATTTTTTTTTTTTTTTTTTTAAAAGTAAGAATACTTTGCTTCCATTTGCAGTGGAATCAGAGGTCAGAATACAGCATGCCATGGCAAAAGAAAAAGCGATATCATGACTCTGTCTGACTCCCCCACCATTTGTTGATGGTTCCTTCCATTTTTTCTGGCTGACACATTTACTTATGCTCTTCAGAGGGTTTCTAACTAGGGAGAAGTCTCCTATAAGATAGATCTCTTAATCCAGCTCCAGTCCCAAGATAGGAAGAAGCCATTAACAGTTCAAATATGGCACCCATGATTTCGAATGAGATGTCTAACTCAGATAAACAAGTTCATTGAAGTGGGACCCCATGTACACATGACAGAAAATCAGGCAAAATACGTTGTTTTTCTCCTATTATTACAACCAGTGGGTTATTTATCAAAGACTCATAAGCAGGTGGTTTCTGTTAAAGAAAGGTTGTACATCTCTAGTAGATATTGAGCTTTTTGGCTCCCTTTCTAACATAGTGCAGTTTTAATGTTCAGAAATTCCTGGTTTGCCCAGTATACAACTGTAGGTAGAGAAAAAAATGTCATTTTTGTAGACATTTCTCTCTCTTAAAGTAATGGTCACAGCAAATTCTAATACTCAGTGCTTACAACTTCCAGCTTTGAGATAATAAGAGCCACTTTCCAAATTGTTCATTGACTTTCAAAGAAATTAATTGCTTTTAATCTGTTATTGCAAATATTTCCAAAGAAATTAATTGCTTTCAATCTCTGTATGCATGAAGTTTAAAATGGCAAAAATTTCAAATATGAAGAAAGTCTCGCTGCTACAATTTCTCCTTCTAATAATACAGTGTTAGTCCACACAGTGTGATCCTAAAGAAAGCTTCACTTACAAGTGAGACATAAATGTCACATCTTGAAAATCAGTTCTTTGTATATCACTTAGGATATATAACAGCAGGTCTTCAATTCAGAAACAATTTCTTAAACATATACTCTCTTTTCTAATATTTCAACCCTAGTTTGGGATTTTATGATGTCAAAGAAGAGGGCTTTAGACAGTTATTGGTAACTTAAAAGTGAATAGCCTATAGAAATAAATAATTCCAAAGAGCAGATAGGGCTATACAGATCACTCTGAATTTCTTTAACACCTTCCTCTCCTGGGAAGAAGGCCAAAGAATAACCTATTGACTCTTCTGCCCTCCTGTGGCCAGAAATCAATGGAGTCTGTATCTCTTGAATAAATATTGCTGTGATTTAAAGACAAATGAATTATTAAAACAGGTGTTCGGTGTCTATTTTAGTGAGGGTTCTCTAGAGAAACAGCACCAATAAGAAGATATATATTTATATAAGGTATTAGTTCAGGTGATTATGGGGGCTGAAAAGTCCCAGGGTCTGTTGATTACAAACTAGAAACCCAGGAAAGCTGGTCATGCAGTCTGAAGGTTGGATAGCCAGAGAGCCAATGCTGTAGACTCCAGTCTGTGACTGAAGCGCTGAGAATCAGGAGGACCTATGTTAGGAGAAGATTAATTTAAAACTTAAGCTGTCCAACAGAGAGACAGTTCAACCTTCTTTCATTTTTTTGTTCTATTCAGGCCCTCCATGTATTAGATGATGCCCATGATATTGGAGAGGACTATCTGCTTTACTCAGCTCACAAATTCAAATGTTAGTCTCTTCTAGAAACACCCTCACAGAAAGACACCCAGAAATAATGCTTAATCAGCTATCTAAGCATCCCGTGCTAGGTCAGGTTGACACATAAAATTAACCATCTCAGTACCTGTGGAAGATTGTCTGCAAAGATGGCCAAGACAGCCATAATAATTCCTTAATTTCCTGTAAATGTACGCAATTCCTTTCATGTTGTGCAGCTACTTTTCCTCCACTTGAATTCTGTCTGGGCTTGTGACTTCCTTTGACCAATAGAATAAGACAGATTTGACACTGTGCTAGTATGGGGCATAAAATTTCAGAGGGCTGGCAGAATCCGTTTTTTTTTTTTTTTTTTTAGAAAGCAATCACTATATTAAGAAGATCAGCATATCCTGCT